TAAAAACAAAATTAGTCTGTTTTTTATTATCAAAATAGATTTAAGGTGCTCCGTTATATTGCAGTATTTTATCTTCGGATTTCCAAGTTATATGTACTGAGATTGTGCACCCTGGTTTCAGTTTAAAGATTTTGCTTTTACAAAAATGTTCTCTGGTAATAATCATTTAAAAATGAATAAACGGTGTGTTTTAAGGATATTAAAATCTAACACAGGATACTAGCAAATTATAAAATAGAAAAATATATATGATTATTTAACGAGCCATGAAAATAGAGTTCCCATAACCATAAACGTTAGAATACAATAAAATGCAGGCATAATATTTCTAAAGGACAATGAATAATGGCAGCGTCTCGTAGTTATTTGTCACCGTTTGCAGATGCAATGCACAACTGTGTTGCATAAGTTTCCCGTTCGCTTAACACTCGCCAAATAGGACTTGGAAACGAACGTATAAGTGTTTGTTTTTAACATCAACACTTGACCCAGTCTGTATGGATTGTTTCGTCGCAGAATTGTATGACTGCGGACCTTATTTTATCATAATATTATAATTAAATAGCTTTCGCCCGCGACTCCGTCCGCGTGAAATAAAAAAAACAAAAGTGAATAGTCTATGTGTTCTTCCAGAGTATCATCTAGATCTACACCAAATTTTATCGAAATATAAACTTTGGCATTTATAATATTAGTATGATTAGATTAACAATACGAATAATAAGGTTGAGGTTAGTTTAGGGATATTATGAACACATAGTCAAACACACAAGGGGAAATATCCTCTTTATGTGCGTCTCCTCCTCCGTCGTATAAGGGTAGGCAACGCATCTGCAATTGCGGATGTCTATGGGCAGCGGTCGCTTCGCCATTTTGGCGGTTTCAGGTAGCCGCTTGCTCGTTTGCCACTTTATGTTATAAAAAAAAAAAATAGTCACCTATGCCTTTCTTATCTTAAAATTAGTACTAAAAACCTTTACCAAGAGACTGTTTAAGTAAAAATTTATTACCAGTGTGGTAATAATTTCTACATTTGACATATTGGTAATTGCCTGGTTGATCTGCACGGTTTATGCGTTAGCTGTCAACGATAATCGTTTCTGTCAATGTTTAAAAATATAAGAGTACTCATTAATAAGCAAAATGTACTTAGAATGTGTCTAAAGGTTTCCATGTCACGAATACTTTGCGATTAACCTTTAGTTATTAGTTTTAAGTTTCTTCCAAAGATATTAATGAAGTACGATTCGATTCTTTTAGATAATTCAACCATTTAAATAAATATAAAAACAAAAAATTAAATGAAATGCAACAACATGAGCTATTCGTATAAGATCGTATAATTTTGACAGTGGTAGAGCCCGCTTTAACATCTTCGCACGAATGGGTCGACTCGCCCGGTGTAATACCACGACCACACAGAAGACAGGCGTGAAGTGGAGGCAATTCCGCGATTCGTCTGATAAGTGTGGTGCCGGAGCCCCAATTTTAGTCCCTTTCCCATCCCACCTTTTTCTTTAAAAGAAGGATGGATTGGAAAGTGGATTTGACGATGGAGGAGACACCTAGGATAGGGAAATATCCTCTTTATGTGCTTCTCCTCCTTCGTCGATTTAGGATTGCTCGTTTGCCACCTTTTTGTATGAAAAAAAAAAACAATAACATGGGTAATGGGTGGTCTTGTGCATTATACAAATATATGCAAATTTGTATTGTAATTTATTGAATAATTGATGGTCAATAAAAGTTAATGTCGTATATCTGTCTTCATTTGCTGGGCTATTAAAACTTAAGTAACGTTATTAATACTTAAATGAGTTTTACTTATTAGAAGAAAATAAAATAAGTGTTAAGTTTATTTAAGATGTATCCAAACAAAGGTTTGGGCAAACTAGTAGAACTACACTCTTAAATTAAATTTTATTTAAATTACCGATTATTCAGATTTTTAGTAGTTCTTTACTAGTAAAGGACATAATTAATACCTTAATTTTTACCGTATAAGTTAAAATCTGTATTTTATCTGACCAAACCCACATATCATTGAGACACGTTATATTGTAAAATGTTGGTTTAAGGCATAAGTCAGTTAGATCATCTCTAAATCGATATATTTCAAGGATGTATAAGTCGCACAATGATAATTCACATTTTCGCATAGATATCTAAATCAATAAAATTTTAAAAACAATTTAAACACATTTAGCTATATTTTATGTGTTAAAATTATCTATTGATGACTCCTTCGATAAAATGGTTTCGGTGTCGTGTTTTTAAATTTAAGTTTTTAACCCTAATTATTAGTTTTAACAACCGTATATGTACAAAATTACATCTAAAAGAAAAATTAAAAGCAATAGAAAGCTTTAAATTCAGTTACATAATGGAGATTGAAATCTTTGCATAATTTTTGTCGTGAGTAGTTATTTGTTTTCATTATATTTTTTTCGTGTAATATAAAACTTTCTAATTAAAATAATATTATGAACTAGCTTAAGTACTTAAATTAAATAATATAGTTTCTGTATACGACATTAATATTTTTGGTGTGAAAATAAAATTCAAACGTAACAATTATAATGTCATTATATTTATATCAAGAAACAAATAAGCAATAACAATAATATTGCATACAACAATATTTACATAAGTGTATCATATATAGTCTTTGTACATTATGGTAATATTTCCATTACATGTTAATATAGCTTATATTCTTATATGTATTTGGTTTTAGCAATAGTGGCTTAAGGTAGTTTAATTCAAGATTGTGAGGGTTCGGTTGTCTTCTCCTCGGTGGGTTGGTAACCGTTCTTGTCGGCGACGTAGGTGACTTGAATATGTTGGCCGTCAGGAGCGATGTATCTATAACTTCCCTTTACGGACAGACCTTGTTGTTCTGTGTCGTTCTTGTAGTCTCCCTGCTCTTGTCTGGATGTGCCGTCGCTTGTTTCAAATCTAAAAAAGATTACAAGAATAAAATATTATAATATCAGATTATTAAATCGAATCATGTTTTGCAGAATGGCTACTATATCTTACCACACAAGAAAGTCAAATATGCATAAAAATCTACAACTTGCTCAAGTTTTTTGGAAAAATAGTTCATTTTTTAAAAAGTATTGAAATTCCAAGTATTTCTGAAGTTCTCTATAATCATTCCGATAAAACAAATAGTTACGACATTTCTCATGTGTGAATACATTTATCGAACCTTTTGATGTTACAACACAACTATTGCCTTGATAGATTGTTTTGCGTCAAATCTCACATCCAACAACGGTTTAAGTAGTACTCGTCACCGTTTATTTTCAAACACAAACGATCGTAAAATGTTTACTTAATGACACTTAAATAATACAGCCTTAAAAACAAAACTAAAAATAACATGAATGTATAACGAGTATAGATTAATTTCAGTCTTCAAATATTCCTTAACCTTCAGATTTTAAGGTCCTAATGACGAGAACGATTTGATAATCACTTGTAGCTTTTCCTAATTAAAAAAATACTCACTCGAAATTGTAACCATTAACATCAACTTCAGAGTCCTGTTTCACAATCTCGACTGGAGCTTTAGTCGGATCTTCCTGCGCCAACACTAACGCCAGAGCAGCAAGTGCGAAAAGTGTCTGCAAAATATAATCTGATAGTTAAATATATTTGTTATTTCATGTAAAATTTAAACTCATTATTATGTGATGTCGTACAATTGAATAAGAGATATTTTTAGTTCCTTTTAATATGAATAAAAATATTAGTCTTGTTAATGTGGGGCTCTTCTACATAAATTTAACTACAAAATTAAATTGAATTACTTGTTTACCGCAAAATCAAATTCTTAAAAAAATACTCACGATTTTCATCATTTTGATGTGAGTTCCAGAAAATGTTGATGTTGATAGATGGACGATGCTTGAACGTCTATACCCTGAAACGGCTACAGTGAGCTATAAATAAGAAGTCAAAGTATTGACAAGGCGATATTTCGTATCATTGGAGGCGAGGTGTTAATCACAATCATGCAAACAGTTTATTTAAGGTGATCCAAGAAAACGTTGCGGGGATTTGTCAATTGTGTAAATTGTTTGTTCGCAGCTGGGACACGCGTGCATCACTTAACCTACTTTTTTGCTGGCCTCACTGACACATTGTTAAAAAAAAGAAAAAAGACTTTTTGTAACAAAGATGCATAACCATAGAAGTCGACTGCAGTAATTTGTTAACATCATGTGTGTTTCTGATATGTCAAAAAGGATGAAGGGATGATTATCGGCCAAATACTGAAACGAAACTAGCAGTATTTGAACCACAAATACCACTGGGACTTCGAATACTACAAAAGATTTTTGTATAATGAATTAAGCTTCATACTTAAATTAACATATGGTGTTATCTCTAATCCAATAAACTTAAAAGCAACTTTAAACGATTTCACGTAAAGCTATATTTCTACATTATATTAAAAAATAAAAATAATTGTTTACACTTGGTACTTATAGCTTTATAGTTTGTTTATTTTGCGTTGCAGTCTATGGCTTTGTATATCTAATTATCATGATAGTGTGAATTTTGCTTTTGAATATAAAAAAGAAGGTCCCAAGAAACTACGTGTTATTTACCACATCAATTTCATTGGAACAGGAGTTCTTCTTAAGAAGTCTGTTGAATTTTTATACAGTAACTAAATTCTTTTTTTTTTTATTTCTTATTATAGAGCCAGTCGTAACTACGCATAATAATTTAAAATTCTTCCTTTTTGTAAAGTTTCATATTTGTGTCGTGATCAACGCAGCGTAAATTACTGTTGTTGTGGCATGAGAAAGACTTATGGAGGTTCAGCTGATTATTATCTTACTAGATCAATTCATAGCGCGCCACACGGTGTCCAAGAGCGACAAACGCGGCAATAGCAAAGGTGAATTGATTTATTTAAAAGATAATCTACTTAAAACCTACGATCAAATAATAAGGTATTCAACTAATTATAATAATTAATCTCAGGTTATTAACCATTCATCATATAGAAATATAGATAGGATCTAGGATAGAAATTTCATAAGCGCGTTAAGGATATTGCAATATCCAATGCGATGTAGTAAGTGTAAAAGACAATTATATAGATAGAAATTTAAAAGACTAGAACCCGTGTAACTAAATCACTTTATACTTATTGATATTTACTGTATTTTGACATTCTTGGGAAAGGAAGAAAAGTCTCTGGCACCAAGATAGCGGTAGCTATTTCCCGCAATTTGCTAGGAATTATCAACCATAGATTAAGGCGATCACAATTACCACCAGTCTAGTTATTAAGCCTTTAAATTCATGCAACATTTTTTGCCGTTACAAAGCTCTACTACTTTCACAGCTACTTTAGAATAAAAACAAAAGCAATGGAGTAAACAATAACATCATCGTACAACTAAATAATTACCTTAACCAATTACTAGTTATAGCAAATTTAAACATAAGTTATAAATCGTTAAAATTAAACGCCATAACATTTCAAGTCATATAATTATCGAAAAACGTAAACACTCGTAAAACTTGTTTCAGTCATTTGCAATATTCTTATGACTATGTAAATGTTATTTATTTATACCAGTAAAACCCTGGATTACTTAGATTTACCTAGACACATACATATTGCTTAGAGACCTCTACCGTTAGTACCCAAAAAAAATTAAAAAAAAGTTCACTATTATGTAACCAAAACTTACACATTTATGAATGGTGGTTTCAAGCTAAAATTTTCAGTTTAAAAACATATCAATCCAATACTGATTTAAATGATTTCCTATAGTACGAAATCAATACGAATTAAGTCTTTTTTATAACAATCGCAAATTAGACAAACATTGTTGCATAGATATACCGCACAAACACACTTATTACAAAACCGGTCTTCTCGGAACTATTGTTTACGAAGCTAGCACGATTTTTTAATACCATGTTATAAAATTAAATTTAGTTTTATAAATAAATTTCGACTTAATATATCCGAAAAGGAATTATTATTATCCAATCGATACTAGTTATCTAATATCAAATAATAAAAAAATTAAGCTCGTCTTACTCTGTAAAATGATACCAATTGTAGGTGCATATCATTCAAAATAGCCGAGCTTACACAATTTTGAAATGCATATTGAATCGCATAATGGTAAAAAACTTATGTGGTCTTATGTTATTTATTAAACATAGAGCAAAAATACTCTTTTATACATTGTTATAAATACTGTATCTGTAAACATATAACAGACTATGTCTTTAAAAAGTTTAACCTTGCTCTTGACCTCACGACATCTGCACGTGCAATAAAGAAAAGTGAAAACGATCGAGTCTGTGAGTCTGTTTACTCGAGTAAAGTTCCTCTCATACAACAAGCCAGGCTTGACTGTGAAGCAATAAAAGTCACCGCACTTGCTCAAGAGGAAATCATCACGACACGCAAATAAATAACTAATATTAACAACAGCTACTTTTACTAGAAGTAAAAGAGTTACTAGCTTTTTGAAGCCTAGATTATATCTTAATAATTTACTTTTATATCTTAATAATTTACTTTTTATATCTTAATAATTTTCTTTTTCAGTGACAATATTATTTAAACTGTAACTTATTGGCTCCTGTTATTTTTAGACCCGGTAGGTTACAGTAATCATAGAAAAATACAATTTTAAAATAACCCGTCTATGAATTTAATTTCGTAATATCTAGAATTAACAAACCATCAACCATCGTTTGTATTTGTAAGTCATACATCTCTGTTGACTACAATTCTAGATTCATCCACACGAACACTAAGTACTACGCAGGGAACAGTAAAAACGTTATGTAAGACGTCTATATAATACTACATAGTTACATAAGCGAGTAAAATTTGATTTCGTTTTCATTGAAGAACGTAACTTATTTTAGGAACCATACTTAGCAATAGTCGAGTTGTTAACCAACCCACATTTCATCGTCTCTAATTAAAATATATATTTATAAACTCAACTAAAAGTTAATTGATCTTCAAGAAAGATAAATGCAGTACAACAATGGAAAAATACTTAATTATCATCATAAAACGCTTAATAAAACTAAAAGATAGAATGACTGCCATACTCAGAGTCAAGTGGTCTCTCTTCTCATACTAAGGAACTTTCTTAGTAGTCAATTAAAAACAGTAATACATGACATATTATTAATCTATTATACAATATTTTTTTACCTAAAACGCAGATGTTTTTAAATTGAATGTGGCAATACAGGAACTATAGAGCCTCGTTAGAAAATGAGTTTTTGTCTAGGTGCCTGTCGTGTACAAAAAACGTAGTTTTAACGAATCCAATGATAGCTAAGCGATACTCATCACACAGTTAATGTCAAGGTTGATCATGATGTAGATAATATAACAAACACTTCATTATGGGTTTTACGTGTATATTATTTGGTCATTTGAACTTATATTTATCAAGATGTTAACTTTAAGTTTATCTTTGTTATCTAATGAAAATAATTAATTACGATCTTACACGATCTTACACCAAAATAAAATTGATTTTCATTAATGACATTAATTATATATTATTTTTAAATTTCTTACTTTATTTTCGTAACATAAATATTACAAAACAATTGAATTAATAATCTTCGACAAAACAAATTAACAATTGAATAAAAGCTTCGTCTTTTAACAGAAAATTCGGATCAAAGTATTTTCTACTTTAAACGTTTTTATTTAAAAAAAAATTAACTAATCATGTTATGCAACTATTAATGAACTAGAAAAAAGATAGTTGTCACATTTTACATAACAGATAACTTGCAAAATTCACTGTTAGTCTATTTTCCTACACGTTAAAGGATGACATGTGCGCTAGAGTTACGTTATTTTAATAAATCACGGACAAGCTTCACAGAGCTTTTGCAAACACGTGTCATCACGACAATGATATGACGCTTTCAAACGAACCCATTGTGTTTTCACTCACGTACTATTTCTTAATCAGTCCATATAACTTCGGTTATGCATTTCTATTATTTAATTAGGGTATAATTGACACAGTCGGATTATTCCATACACACGTACAGACAGACGAACACAATTCGTCCTATAATACAACACAATGACCTCAAGTTGAATTAAATGCCGAGGGCTTCTTACCTGTATTTTGTAATATTTCATACGATTCTTTACCAACCGGGATACAATAGGGTAATAATTAATTATAAGAATAGTTATTGTAAAGTTACTTATTAATGTATAACTGTAGAATTCAGCTCCCGCATTTAGTACGCATGTAAGCCACAAAAATAATTATCAACATTTCTATAAAAAAATATAAATTATGATTTAAAATAAATTTTATTCCATTACCTACCTAAAACTTTATGTAACATAACCTGTATTTTTTAGTCAATTCGTGGTTTTCATGTTAATATGAAACTACTATTTAAATACGTTTTAACTCAATTTGATATCAAACCTTTATAAGTCGTTCGTTATTTACGAAGAATAAAGATTAGTAAGTTAATAAGAAAATTTTAACCTTGTATGAAATGGTTATAATGATATTATTAGGTAATAAGTGTTAATTCATTAACTATGTGTTAATAGAAATTTTATACATACTTATACTTTAAACTTTACCACAAAGCAATGGGCACATAAAGCCGCAGAATATTTGCATTGCCTTATTGCATAAGAAAAGTCACTATAGAAGATAGTACCTTTAAAGGTAATTTAATTTGAATTACATAATATTTATGTTTATGCACTGAATGAACTGGTTATATTAAAAAGATCAATGTCAATCTAATTAAACAATTTTATAAAGAGGAATGGCTTAATATTTTTGTTTAGCTCTTAAAACTGCAAAACGACTGAACCGATTTTCAAAATTCTTTCACTAACTCAAAACTGTTTACTAAAGTGATACTAGGTCGTTGTTTTAATATAAAAATGTATAGGTTTGTCTAAGTGAAGTGCAGAGCGCGTCACCTCCGACCCATCCTCACATGATGTCAGTCTGCAAGTAATGCCGGAGATCATATAAAACGAACGATTCACAACCACTCGTCACTCATTCGTTAGTTTGAACTCAACACGGATAACCGAGCAACATGCTTAAATACGTAAGTTGCAATTTAATTGTTTGATTAACCACTTTAAATACTAAATCTAATATTATTCGTTGCACTTGATATTTTATAGCAAATTTGAATTGCTTAATTGAAATAATCGGTCAAAAAAAAGTTATCAACATTGCATTTATGTAACCAATTTTTAGACCTTTATTATTAAATTAATAAAAGGCTTGGAAAGTTTCCCAAAATGTATACATCTTATTTATTTGAAGCACCGCTTGGAACAAAATCATGGACTAATGATGCGTGATTTCTCTTTCATTGCCGTTTATTTACAAAAAATGCAACATATTGAAAATTTGGCATGTTTTCATCATTATACTACACACATTCCGTGTTTTTATTTACCAGGTGACAATGGTATGTCTGTTGGCCGCGCTTTGTTCAGCGGCGCCGCAGCAAGACGTACAAATACTGCGGTTCGACAACGACGTCAATGTGGACGGATACAGTTTTGCGTTAGTATACACGAGTACATTTTAAAGTCATATTTTTTTGTTTGTTCCGTATTGTTTTTTTTCATACCATAAGCATTTTACAATAGTTCATGTTCGCATAACATTTAAAAGATAAACAGTTTGATACTTAAAAATGCAGTTATCGTACAGAAACATATTTAAATAACAAAAAAATGCATCATCCAGTATCGACGCGGTGATGCTTTTCACGCCAATTTAAGCTCATAAAATTTAATGGAAGTTTAACAACTTTTATAGCAAAAAATGTATAATTGTATATTTATTTATTGGCTCTGCATTTTAATTATAACGATCAATGCTCCGCCAAATATTAATTTAAAAAGATAACCTGTTCTTTCTTTTTTCTAACATCACTCATTAGATATGAAACCAGCGATGGTACATCGAGACAGGAGGAAGGCAAACTAGACAACCCGCAATCTGAAAACGCCGCCCTTACAGTCACCGGTCAATACGCATTCGTTGCCCCTGACGGCAAACACTACACTGTCACATTCACCGCTGGACCTAACGGCTACCAACCCAAGACGTCACTCGGACAAAAGAAATAGACATAAGAAGCCGGCACTTTCAGCCAATTGTATATATCCGTTTAATTACAAATGAAAAAAAAATGTTAAGGTTTCCACCGCAGTAATATTTGTCATCCTTCATATTTCGGAAACCCACAGTAATGAAATAACTCGAATTAAGCTCTCGATCTCAGTTATTTCTAAATAACATTGAGCACAGTATCGGGGTTGTAACATCTAAATTGTGCCATAATGATTTTCTACTTTTATATCTACGCTTTTTAAATAAAAGATTAATTAAACATTGTATTATTTTTTTTTTATTTTAAAGACAACATACAAAGATATAAGTTCTTATTTGTAATTATTGTAAATTTTCTTAATATCGACACTAACATAGATTTTAAGATATCTAGTTTATATCCTTTAGATTATTCTGAAAGAGCATGGTTAAAATTGGAATTCCAGAAATTAGGAAACAAATGAAAACTATGATTTTTTTCTGCTATATCTTTAATTTCACAATTTGTTTGAAAACAAAAGACAGTGAATAATTCATTGTCATAAAACAATTTCGATAAAATGCAAATATTTTATTATTAATCGTAAAAGGTTAGGCTATTTCAAGAATAGTTCAACTGCGTTTTATGTATATTGAAAACAAATCACGTAACATCCATTTTATCGGCACATCAACTGTGCAGTCGTAAATATATTGCACATTTGTTAGACACGAACTTGCATTTTCTAGACGCAATAATGATATCCAAAATGAATATAACTTGAAACCGAGTACCTCAGGTCAAGGTTCATTTAACTATACTTAATGTGTTTCTTTGTATAATCATCTTTACAATACATTGTTGGTGCAATCTAAAATATAGAAATTGAGATAAAAGGATCTTTCTAAAACAACTGGAAGAAATTTTACTATTGACAACTATGACAGATAAATAAAGTATTAAAAAATTAAAGTTATCTGTAAATTAATAATTTCAGAACCACTAAACTATGAACACAAGAAACACTAGCGATTACAATCACGATGTATAATGATGAAATGTCATAATGCAAGAAGAATACAAAAACGGCATCTAAAAGCGATTAGCATCTTATAACGAATCTTGTTAATACATCACCTTTGTATCACAACATCATAAGGTTAATGGATGTCAGAGGTATAAAACAGTTATATTAATCATAAGATTGAGTAAATATTAGTGTTTAGTAACTTTTCGTGTAGAGCATCGCTGGGTCATACTATAAATGTGATCTCTAAAATCGTACCATTTCTATAATACGTGCTTACCACACTATATGTTGGTATTAAATGTATTGTAGCTATGCTTGTTATTCTTACAGTCCTCTCATGTAACCTTAAAATTAGGTCTTAATTCAGATTCTAACTAACATTAAATTACTAATGCACGTATGAGTTCGTCATGTAAAATTCTCACTTACTCGATACGTTGGTTTCCTTTGATCTAATTTTTTTTAGACTCTTAAGGATGCATTATTAGTTAAATATATTCGACATGCTACATCTTAAATTCATTGTTAGAATAATCCCTTACCTAAATTAATACTATTGATAAATCTAGTAAAATAGTGATAGTTTAACGATTGGGGAAATATGGGAAGACATTAAAAGGTTAGCAGACAACGTTACGGTCGCTCCGGTGGCGAAATTAAACAGTCGTATTTAATGCGCATCGCAACCTTACCTCAATAGTGTTGCCATACAACATAAAACTATTGACTACAAGCATTGTCACTTGTAATAACTAAGACATGTACAAAAAAAAAGAATTTAGCTTTCCTTTCCTCTTGTTTAATTTCAATTACTTTTTTTGGTAAACTTCAATACAATGACTTTTATTATTTGATTTAATGTTGAAGATAAAATTATAGTTTAAATGTACCGAAAAATAAAATTAAAAAGAGTTTTTTGTAATAACTTCATATTTTAATATCGGTCAAACATTTTGTACTTCCAAAATAATAAATTGTCGTCTTGATTTACTTTAAGTAATCCCTTAACGGATTAATCTGACGGTGTTTCTACAAAACACCCACACCACCAATTTAAATCATTTACACTTTAGGTGTAACGCATTAGGCTAAGAAATTTCACAGTGCAAATGTTGTCGGCGCGTTTCGCAAAGCTAAATGCCAGCACATATAATATGTCCCATACTCAACGTATGTAAGAGTTACGTTTGAATACGTTCTGCTCACCTATTCAAACTTTAACCTTCATGATAAATTGATCTATTGTTGACTTGTAATTAATCATTAACGAGACTTTTGAATAGTGCTTTTTTTTAACTCATTAGAGAAACTTAATTACAAAAGTTATGTGTGGCATATAACGGGAATAATTTCCTGCCTCCGATTGACTGTTATGTGATTGAAATGGATAGACAAACGTAATGTAAATACAATCTCAAATGTAATCTTTGGTGTAGTTTAAGTCTGGTAAACAACTCGGTCAAGATATAATGTTTATGCTTTCAGCGCCTTCAATAAAAAGCAGAGAATTATAACAGAACCGCGACATAAACTCATGAATCCAATTAGGCGTTTATAAGTGATATATGTATAACGTTTTCCTCTGCCAAGGCGGCGTTCGTCTAGATGAATCTACGACAGGTGCACATTTCGTACAATACCTCGATGTATTACTTTTGCAAAACAGGATCAATTTATTGCAAAAACTTTTAGGTACTATTAAATTTACAGCAAAAGCTCATAACACCTATTGAAAATAATTTGCAAATATGCATTTCTACCAACCTGCTATTGTTTTTTATAAGTTGAAATATTCTTCCATTAATATTATATTTGTCATTAAATTAACATGTAAGACTGTAAATATTGTGTACTACTAAAAATAGATGAATATTGCCTTGGAATATAAATTACTATGAAATAGCAAAATAACATTTTTACAAGTGTGCTACATATCATTAAAGAGGATAGGATATAGTGCGTTTATGACAAGGTATACGGTCAATTATATGATGTTACCTAGAATCTTGAACCTGTAATAAACAACAAAAATAAATACCAAGATGACATTTAAATACAATAAACATTTCAGTTTATAAAATATTCGAGTAATAACGTAAGAACGTGATGACATCTTGTATTCGTGACCGACTCCTAGTTCCTGCACCGTATTCCTTCGTCGATTAACACGATATAACAAATTAAATAAATCATACTGTGAGTACGCATGTCAATGTTTATTTATATCATTCTGATATCTATCGTAACGTAACTGTATCCAGTTGTACATCAAGTCCTTGGTAAAAGGATCTAACACTTTACGAATGTTGAAAGACTTGTTTATTACAAAAAATTTAACGATATTTTTTTATTTCGTAAAACAGATAATTAAATAAACAAGAATACTGAAATATTCTTGATGATAATGATGTTTAAGTTATTTGATAATAGTTTGTTTCAAAATTAGAAATAGTGATATAGAGATGAAAATTATATTTAACCAAGTATTAAAACCATTGATTTTATTCAGTTAAGATTTTCGCATACTAATAATTAACGTTTACATATTTTTTACGAATAATAAGCCATATAGTTTAAAACAGTAGTTTAAATAGGATTTATCAGGCACCTTAACTTATATATAAACAAGAGTCGTTTAATAAATTAACTATAAATTAAAAAATTATTACTAAATTTGGAGGAAACAATATAAAATTAGCATATCACACATAAATATCAAAATAAACATTTTATAGGGACATTAATTAAAGTTATATTAACTTATTGTTTTTAAATAAGACAAAGATTGTTAAACTAATTTTACGATTAAAAACACGATGTAGTCCATAAAGTTAGTCGTTAAAGTAGCATGTGGTAGATTCTTAAATGTTTTTTTTTTATTTACATAAATATTAAAATAGTAGCTGTAAGCTGTTTGTAAGAGTAGTCGCTATGGTATTGCTACCAGTTGACAATATAAATGAAAAAAAATATTGAACAACTAGCTTTCGCCCGCGACTCCGCTCGCATGGAATTAAAAAACATAAGTGAGTAGCGTATGTGTTCTTCCATACTATCCTCAACGTCTATGCCAAATTTCATCGAGATCCGTTCAGCCTTTTGGGCTACAAACTCTAACAAACATCCATCCATCTAAACTTTCGCATTTATAATATTAGTAAGATTGTATTAGTGACAATGACGCCAAAACTGACCACAAAATATGTTCAGTAGTTTAGCTTCAGTTGTATAACGTAACATAAATGTATGGATTCTTTTACCTAAGCTCTACAACCCTTTTGTGATCTGATTTGTTTGCTGATCTATTACTAATATCGAAATATATTACAACATTTAATTCTTTAGAATATTGATAATGCCAAAAATAATAAATTCAATTAAAATAATGTGTGTACTTAATAAAAACAAGTTACCAATTTGTTTTTGGGTAAATGCAGTGGTAACTTCTTATTTATTATGACTTCTAATATCGACCTCGATTGTCGTGGTAATTGTTGAACAAACTTACAACACTTTACAATGACCTTTGTCAATTCGTTAGTGTACATCATTCGATTGAATTGCCAAGAACAGCCGACGATCGGAAATCAGTACATGTAATAAAAGTTATTACAATATTTATTTCCGTCATTTATAAATAATTACTAACATAATTTCGTTCCGTTCACCTATACTATTATAATAAAGCGTAAACACACACTTCTTTGTTGCCTAAGATGTCAGCAGTTACAGCATATTTTTGAATAATTCACTTTTAAATAAAAAGCCCAATACTTACTTCACGCTTTAGGCTATATATTTTCACGCCATTAAACTTAGAGGGTAATGACTATGAATAAAAACCCTAATGTGGGAAAGAGACCATAAGTTGCTGCCAACATCAAGAAGCAAGGTTGTCATCGTGTCATATCATTTTGACATTTGTAATTGATAGTTTGACAAATGTAAACAATAAAACAAAATTTTCATAATTTTATGCGGATGAAGTCGAATGGGCACAGCTAGTACCTTAATAACTGTGAAAATAAACTTTAATTGTATTGTATATTATATACAATTATTACTTATATTGTAAAATAAGACCTAAGATTATGTCAATGGTAAGAAAACGTTGATTAGGTTGTCATATACGAGTGCGCATATTCACTAACATAAATAGAAGTAGATTTTCAAGTTCCATTTATGTGAAATAATCAATTTTCGTCTATAATTTTAAATACTTAAACGTTGTCAAAACACTTTAAAACATATATGCGTTACGCGATTATCAAATAGCGTGAAGTATTGAGTCTCTTTGTAAGTTGAAATATTTAGCTAAATTTTGTTGTTTTGTGAAATAAAATTGAAAAGTCTTTATATTAAATTCAGCTTTTTTCAAATCAAATACGACACGTCCTCTGACTTTATGAAATACTAGCTGTCGCCCGCAACTCCGTCCGCGTGATAAAAAAAAACAAAAGTGAGCAGCCTATGTATTCTACCAGACCATACTCTACATATATGCCAAATTTCATCGAAATCCGTTTGGTCGTTTAGACTACAAATTCAAACATCCTTCCATCCATCTATTTATCTAAACTTTCACATTTATAATATTAGTAAAATAAATTTAACTATATTATAAAAAAAAAACAATCATATTGCGACAGTCATTTTACACATAGAAAAGACATCAACGCATCGTAGAAATTGGATCATTGGATTCTATTCATCAATCGTTTATATAAACAGTCTTATTACGTTAAGTCATAATTTGCCATTGCGTCAAATTTATTAAGGGAAATATGAAGTAACATATCGAACACAATACTTCCATGTTAAATTATGACATGGTGCGGTACAGTATAGACTAACAATGAATTCATAAAATAAAGTAATGCAGGATGTACATTATATGTTGGATAATAAACAAAGATTAAAGACATAGTTATAAATAATTTACAACCAAAGGACAGTGTCTCTTAGAGGCATTACAAACGACATATTCTATGGAGAGTATTTTTTATTCAGTACATATTAGTATGAGATTACCTATGGTACCCGCCATATATTATTAAGCCATTTTATTCCAGTACTCATATCATATATGTATAAAAATTTTATGTAAAGAATACAGGAATTTAAACTGATAAATTTTATTATTGTTTATACTTGTACACTTAGTGCATCTTTTAAGTAATAAATAAATAACACTTCTCAAGTTGTCTATGAAGTCATGTTTTGGACGTATTAATAAATTACGCGAGGCGAAGAATCCGCGCAGTCTCGTGCGAACTCTTGCGCAACAGGCCGCGCCACCACGCCACCCATGCACGCGGATTGACAACAAGGTAATCATTAATAACTGTTTCTATTTGTCATTAAATGCAATAAATGTAGCTGTACAAACAATTAAGTTATTTTTATAAACTTCCGGTATCAACCTTCATCAATGAATTTTACGTTTCATAAAATAACGTTTGAAAAGCGCGATAAAATTTCATCTCTACAAACAATTAAAAAAAAATTCAATGATCAAATTAATTTCTTACGCTTCCTTTAGAGCCAGTCTTTATTGTTGTTTTTTTACATTTTCTATTTAGAAAAAAAAACACATGAATGTGACAGACAGTTGAAACGAAAATAGGCTGACTGTAGTCAAAAACGTTCATTGAAAGTTTTTTTTGCAGTTCTTGTGTAAGTTGTACTTAATGCCGTGGAATACTTACAAATAAGTAAACGATTACGCACCATGTACAAGTATTATTCGAACAATGCTAATCATTTTATCATGAAAACAGTCGCATCGCGTCTTTATAAACGCGACACATTCCAAAAGTACAGAATTTTTTTTTCATCAATAGATAAAGCGATTTAAGAAATAATTTACGTTACGTTATTTTTAATTAATTTAAAACACATGTTACATTTTCAATCTTTATAATATTTGAGCCTTTTGAATGTACATATGCTCGTAAGATACGGGTTTCTTACCACGACTGGGTTGTTTTAGCTTCCGATATTTCGGTACAGTTGCATGCGCCATGTTCACGGGCTTACGAATATTATTTATAAAAACCACGACCGTTTAAAGTTATACATTTTTTAATGTAGTCTCATGATGATTGTTCGGTATAAATTGCGAAACTTTGGATCGTGGTCAAGCCCTAGCTTAAATATAAAAAAATAAAATTAAAACAAAATATGTAACGTTTATAGGATTATGTTACTCCGAGTAATTTGATTAAACTTGAAAGATGACAGATTATAAATTAAGAAGTCTAGACACATCGCTGTATTCATGTTTTAGAAAATTAAAATTATTTTGGAGAAAACATTTTACGTCTAGTAGATTGTTACCCGAGTGAAACCGGGCCTGCTTGGTTGAGGCAGTTCAATTATTTATCAAGTGACCAATTACGGTGTGAATACTAATTTAACAATTTGATTTTGTATTGCGTCGATAGTATTGGTACTTATGCAAATAGATTTTTTTTTTAAACTCTAACGTCTGAAATTTTCCTTGAATATAAATTAAAGGACAAATACAGTGTTTAGTTTTGTTAGTTTTGAAATTGTTTAAAATAATCACACAGTTAAATAACTATTAAATGCGGTTTGTAATTACAACAACAATATGAAAATTTTTATGTCGAATAATCATGCATCTACATGGAAGTAAAAATTCCACATAACATCAATGAATAAGTGTTTCAAAGAACTATTGATGTGGCAAAAAAAAACTTTGATCAAACCGTAAATACCATAGGTATATACTTTTATCTCGCAAGATTCCATCAATAAGATAAAGAATAACAATGATATAATATTGATAAGACGTTTAACAAATTGTTTCTAACGATTTAAGCCAAATCCGGTTGTCGTCATTACCCATATTTAAATTCGATCGTTTATTGACTTTAAATTGCCGTCTCACAATCCCATATGGGAATCGTGTTATAGCTATTAGTAATTAAAACTTGATAGTTTTATAATAGCTGTTGCCCGCAACTCCGCCCGCGTGAAATTATTATGAAATAGCCTAATGTTACTCGTGGATAATTTAGCTTTCAAATGGTGAATAATTTTTTTAAAATGGTCCAGTAGTTTTTGAGCCTATTCATTACAATCAAACTAACAAAGGTTTCCTCTTTATAATATTAGTATGAAGTGAAGAAAAATTCTACATTTTTACTTGTCTTTAAAAATAATGTAGATTTATTTAAATTTTATTCCGACATGATACAACGCACATATTAATTAACATGACTTTAAAGTACTTAAATGTTTTCGTAGAAAAAGTACTATAATATTCACAATTTAATTACAGATGCTCGGTCGAAGAAACTTTACATTACTATGTTTAACAATATGTATAGTCCATGTGAAATGTGCTGACAAATACACAGACGAAAACAGACCATATGAATTCGGATTTACGATTGATGGGGAGCAACATCGACACGAAAAGAAAGGTAAGGTTTAGACTACATATACGAAATGTTACCGTAGATTTTCACTAAGGAAAAAAACTGTATAATGACATATTTTTAATCTTTTTTTAAAAAAAAGATTTACGTATTTCAGGAATAAAACTATTATTTTATGTGAACGTAAAGTACAAGTGTAATAAAGACCGCTATGAATTTTTTTTTTTATCTTAAAAGTAAATTATAACTTCTGAAAGTGTTTATAATACGTGTGCTACAACTTTAAACGCCTTAATTTTTATTAAATCATATCAAAACATATACAACTAACAGTACGCACGAATGCCGTGACCAGGTCGGGATAATCAACAAGTCACGTTCCGAACGTCGATACCGACACACGAAATCATCACTGATTTTATATTTTACTCGTATCCTTTAATTCTATATTAGTTTGGAAGTGTCAGACTTTAATGAAATAACTCGTTTAACAGATAATTTAAAAGAAGTCTTGGTAGAAAAAAAAGTTATTCATTTTTAGGTAACTCTAACGTTTGATTGTCTACTTGTATTAATTTTAAATTATTAAGAAAAAATATTACTTCTAATAATTTATATTATATCACCCATATTTAGAGGATCCTGTAGAAAACATTGTTTTTATAAACTAAAATCTCATTGACAATAATCTGCTAAAATTGAATAGTTCAAACAAATCAATACTAAAAATTAAACAAGCATTGACATCATCGAATGATTATTAAAATGTGCTTGACGTTCGACAAATAACGCCGAGCTTCAGAGAGGAGTTAAAAAATATTTTAATTGACTATACAAATAAACTTCGACTTGCATCACGATCATTTACTTCCGCGAGTATACAGTTTTATCTAACAAACAATGTATATCGAAATACGAGTATAAGAGAATAAAAAGATACAATGATCTAACAAAAGATTTAAATTGCTTGTAATAAAAATCATTATTGTATACCAATATCATATTATAATTATTTTTTTAATTTAACTTAACTAATATTATTATTTTCTTCTTACAGATGAAAATGGTATCATCATGGGCGAGTTTGGTTTTATCACCGCCGACGGCGTGTATCACGTGACAGTCTACGCCACTGACGAGAACGGAAACTTTAAAATTTTATCAATGAAAAATATTCGTGTAAAGCCATGTACGTAAACCAATATTTATATTTAAGTACAAGCTATATCATAGAACTTTAAAAAAAATATAAAATAACCTTTAAAAACCAATTAAAATATGTACTAAAAATTAAAAGTTTCCGTTTGATTGTAAATAAAGTTGTAGTAAATTACTTTGAATTCTTTGATGCAATTAATTTCTCTTTTATTCATTTACAGATCCAACAGCTAAAGCTGGGCCGGAAAGAGGGCGATCACTTGAATACTCGTCATCCCCTCAAGTACTTCCAAAATCTTCAGTGCCTGAGCAAATTAAAAAGGAATTCAAAGAGATACCCAAACCCGGTCCTGCTTCGCCGGCTAAATCTTGTTCACATTGCAAACTTCCTACCACTACCACTACCACTACAACTACACAAGCTCCCTACATTCCTAGCAACGAACTACCGCAACCAGCAATTTCACAAATACCTGAGATACCCCCTAAGTATAACAAATATGAAGAGAATCAATCATACGAAGATGTCAGAGCTCAAGACTATCTACAACATGGACAACAACAAGATCAGCAGCAACATCAACAAGGACAGCAGCAAGTACAACAACAAGTGCAACAAGGACAACAGCAAACGTTATTACAACAAGGACAGCAACAAGTAAGGCAGCAGCCACAGGGCCCACAACCAGTGCAGCAAGCAAAACAAGGAGCGCAGCAACAAAAACAAAACAAGAATCTGCAACAACAGGGACTAGCAGAACAAAATCTGGATCAATTTAATAATGAACAAAATCATTTGGCCCAAGAAATTGGACCAGGACAGAATAACGCACAAAATAATGAAGGGGACTATCTACGACAGAGTTATACGCAAGAAGGTTTGCAAATTAATGATTATCAAATACAGCAGCAGCAGCAACGACAACAGCAGCAGCAGCAGCAACAACAACAACAACAACAGCAGCAGCAGCAGCAACAACAACAACAACAACAACAGCAGCAGCAGCAACAACAAAAGTACTCAAATAATTTCGCTCCTGAACAAAGTAGTACTTTAAATCAAATCGGATCACCACTGAACAATCCCCAATCAAGCCAAAGTGCAAATGATAACTATTCGCAGCCAAGTTACTCTCAAAATGGTTTAGGAAATACTCAAACAAGTTTTAGCCAAGGCCAAATAAATCCTAAAGGAAAGGATGTATCCAATAATCCTGAGAGTAATATTGAACAAACTCAACCTCAGTCTGTAAACAGTGAAAATCAAGGTCAGACGTTACAACCAGAAACTAATCGTAACCCGAAATCTTACGATGATCAATCGAATCAAAGATTTAATACATTAAGCCCACCCTCTAACGCATTTACATCTCATGAGAATTCTCCTACTAAGAAGCCTCAACTTGTATCAGCTCAAATGCAAATAGTTGACAAGAACACTGACATTCATTACAAACGTCCTGGAGAAAAGGAAGGTCTTCCCGACGGTCTGACTAAAGATGATATGTCTCAACTTTTGTACACGTTCAATTATACAGTAGGCTTCCACGGGCACTTTGAAGAAGGTTACAAAAATGGTGCCAAAGTAGGGTACTATTTTGTCACAGGAAGGAATGGCGTTCGAACAAGGGTTGATTACGTTGCCGATGAAAAGGGATTCCGGCCTAAAATAACACAAGAAGTTCTAGATTTACTATCAGATGATGTACCTAAGCCAGATACAGAAAAAGATCCAAAATATGGACTTAAGGGGTATGAATTTAAATGGCTTTATTACCCGGTAGATACAAAATAATTTTAATTTATGGTCATCTTAATATTAAAAGATGCAAGTAATATATTTAATGTAATGTATAAACATATAATAATGCGACGGAAAACTTACTGAATGAGACTGAATATATGAAGTGATATAAATAAATTTGATGAAAATATATTGATGTGATATATACATATTTAATAAGTCAGTTCAATAATTTTTACGTCGTTATCAAAAATCACGTTAAGTTAAATTAATACCAAAAATGTTAATTTTAATTATTTAGATTTTAATGGCATTATAACATGTTAATAACCAGCCTTAAAATTATTGTACTGTATAAACGCTCACTGCCCTAGTACTGCCAATAAAATTGCATTACTTGTTATTACACATTTAAATATAAATAAAATAAAGTAGTTTGAATATATTATCTTTTGAATTTACCTGTATCAAAAATTACTTTATAAATGTAACAAAAATGTAAATTACTACTACTATTAGACTTGTAAATAAGTAACCAATGTAGAGACAAAGCGAGCTGGCGGCGTACTGTGCACGCTATCTGCCTCACTTTGGGGACAAAGGAATAGAAGAGAAGAGAGAGAGAGAGAGAGTAGCAAGCTATAATTTTTCAAAAAATGTAGGCCAGATTTCCCTCACCGAAAGTAATTTTCAGCGATCATGACTTAGCGCCTATATTTAATTTTATAGCAATTTTATTTAAACGGAAAATTGTTAATTAATATTTTTGACAAAAAAAAAGCATATCTTATTGTAACACATTCCACTATCATTATTATTTATTATCCTTCTCATTCAATACAAAAAGATGCTAATTTTGAATGTCATTAAAGATATGAGATGGGTTAATGATTTTATGTTTTATTTCACTTTAAATACAGTTATAATTAGGTTTATGGCAGTAACAGTATTGAAACTCCTTAATTAAAACATTGTTAAGTTGTGGACAAGTAATTTAAAAACTTTTGTGACTTACAGTTTTCCTTTCATATTACTTACCACTCAATGTAGTATTTTTCAAAATTAGACTTTTTATGCGGTAATACTTCTATTTCAGTGATGGAATGATGATATTCCTTTTTGTTTCTCTGTTATGCACGTATAAATATTTGTCGGCTATAGCTTTTACGTTTGATTATGCAGGATTGCAATAATTTTTTACTCCAGAGAACATCACAAGAAGGTGCACCTCATTCATTTGTGCAAATGGAATCGCATAATGAGTTTTTATTATTTGTGTTGTTAAGGCAATATATTCTGGGAAGAGGCATATCATTAAACAAGTCGGCAAGATCATGATTTTGGTCCGATATTAAGGTGTTTAATTTTTTTAAAAGGACCACCAAAATTTGGCAACAGGCCCTTTATAAAAAAAAATAATAGCTTCAAGTATAACTGAACCAATATAAATTTAAATGCACTTAAGTAATTTGCGTGAAAACCAAACTGTGAATGAATGTATGCAATCAAATTTCGATACACTATCTGTGCGCGTTTTGGCGGGAAACTGTTCGAGCAGTTACAACAGGGCCAGCGCGTGCGCAACACGCGTTCGAATTTTAAAACCGATGCGATCGCGAACGCGACTCCGTTTCGTCTTCTAATCTCTTTTGTTCCGACAATTTGTTTAAATGGAAGTATTGGGGACACTTCTAGTTTACCATTGTGTCTATGCCAGATAACATGCTTGTAGAGTCCCTTTGTTAAAGCACAATATAAGGTTTAGTTCTACTTTCGGAAAATTTAAATAACACTGTGAGTAAAAATTAAATAAAAAATTAAATAATCTCATTGTGATATTGGACTGATAAGGCTGAAGAAGTAGAAGGTAATTTAATAATTGTTTTCATAAATTCAAAAACTAATGAATATAAACTAAGTAAACACCGCAATGTAACATATAGCTCTTATTAACAATGCACGAAGAGTTAATTATTTTATAATAACATTTTAATTAAAATAATTGACTACTTAATAATACTAGAGAATGTACTACATACATACATAATAGCTAATGTTCATAAATATCCGGCCTAATAACAATTTTCATGGGTATTGGGATGTTTTTAAGCGAAAGTAGGATTTAATAAGTAACCAATAATATAAGACAAACCTACGTAAGTGTGTTGGTCCATCAAGAAAAGTATGTTTTTAATCTGTTTACGCTAACAGACAGTTTATAAAGCCGCAAAGAAGTGCACATTTTAATTAATTTCACATAATTACGTCAACATTCTTCGAAACATTTTATTGTTGTTCAAGGTTGAAGAAGATCATATTAACGATTTATTTAGATTTCTTAAATGACCAAAAGAAAACAAGTATCAGATCGCCCGTCAGCAGAAATTGTTTTCTTTTTTTATTGACTTCTTAATGAAGTGTTTTTTCTCTACAAATTCAGATAAGGACGAGTCTTGGTCATCTAAAAAGTATCATTTTATTATAGAAATTAGACGTTAAGAGAATAATTTATATATTTGAGATTTCTGTGATTTATGAGGTAGTAAATCTATAGATGATATAACAAGGAATTTTTACGACCTTTTGTAAGTTTGATTTTTAAATTTCAACAAATCGCATCATGTAAAGATTTTATAGTTATTTCAAAATGCAGATACTATAAAAGACGATATGAGTATATCCGTGTATCTGTTTTAAGGTAAACTTATGAAAAACTATCTTAACAAAATATTTAGTCATGCAAACTTCACAGTAATTATATAGTACATTACGTACATACTAAGCTAAAATGCAAATGCAAACTGTCCTTCCTAAATACGTAATAGCTGCGTCCAGATGACATAGCGTGAGACATGCAGTAGCTTCTCACATCACTGCACGCAAAAAAATTTGGTCAGGGAATATATGTCATGAACAAGAATTTCCCATAAATATGCAATAGAGGACAATAACTAGCATATGATAGTGGAATTTACTAATATTTTTTTAATTCTTATGCAACATTCTAATATTATCCAAAATTAAATTAAACATAATTTATAAATAATTAAATTATTCTGACATGATTTAATTGAAAAACGATATCGTTTGTTAATAAAAATAAATAGTTGAACTCTGAACAATTTCGAATTCGAATTTGCATTTGTTGTGTCAGAAGAATAAAATTTATTCAAATATCTAACGTACAAAGAACGAGGTTGCATCAAATTTGCAAATTTTATCTTTCCACCTTGACAGTTGTAAAATCATCGAGACATCAACATAATTTCTCAGTTTTTAGATATTTTTTACGTCTTTGCTCATACCAAAGGTATCTCTCACCTTTGTGGTTTCAAAATCTATTACAGGAACATAGGTTACGGAAGAGAATCTTTGTAAATAATAATAAACTAAAGTACTTTCTTAACACACATCCCATATCAATAAAATAGATCAATCAAATAAAATAGATCCTACGATTGCTTGAAATTATAAACGACTAACCTTACACTAACTTTTGCTCTTGATAACTATGGAAATTTTATGAATTACTCTAATTTGACGCTTACTCCAAAAAAAATTCATAAGCACAAGTATAACGTTTGTTATTTTATTTATACTATTCCAATAACAGTTATGTAAAATGAAATCTCACCATTCAGCACGATATTATCTGATTTTACAAAAATGATATCTATATCGCCAATTCACTGTTTAGCATGATATTTTTTACTCAGCGTGATTTTAAAATTGGTCATCACGGACATTCTTTGGGATATTATTAAAAAGGTTGCAGTTATATCTTTTACATTTTATCTGCTGTTAACCAGTCATTGGGTAGCCGATTTTATAAGCTCGAAATTTAATATAGCCCATTTTTATTGTTCGTTTTTTTTACTCCGTGTATTTTAGCGTGCATGGTTTACATTCTAATATCCTTAATTTACTGTTTCCATAAAAAATGATATCCACTATTGAGTTTACGGATTATAAAAAAAAATTTAATACAAATAAATAAATAAATAAATAAATTAACTATGGTAAGGAACTTATTATTTTACTTGAATTTTAAGACTGACATTCAAAAACTTAAAATAAATAGAGAGTGTATAAAATGGATGTGGTAGAGGCAAGCGACGCGCCCAAATCCGCGCCAAATCATTTTTTATTATTTGTCTTCATGAACTTCTAAAATAAAGATAACTTTGCTCATTTAGAATATTAAAAAGATGACTACAGTCGCAGTTTTTTTTTATTTCCTTTACTAGTAGAAATTGTAAAATATATGTTAACGTGATGCTTATGATCGCGTGCCGGCTATCGGCCACGCCGGTGAGCACGCTACCCGATACCCGCAAGCCGCTTCATGTCCGTTCGGAAGTTAACTTTTTTATTCACATTGTCTAACACATGAGGTAACAGGTAATTGCACACCTCTCTTACCTTTTTAATCATAGGAAAAAATATTATATCAGTAGTGTTGAACAACGCCTTCATCAAATTTATAAATGATACAACAGCTTCATGGATTTTCATGATTCATTTGAATTAAAAATGTTTTATTTGGCGTGAGAAAAATTATAATATATAATAATACTATACTATACTCTTCATGAAGTATTGTTAATGTTTCAAAACTAATTTCGTCAGTGTTAAAGCGAATTCAATTCGAACGGATGTTTAAAATAAATCAGGCAACGTCCGGTGTAAAATGTTCATGGACATGAGATCAAATTGCAAAGCAATGAAATATATAAAATGCAATATTTAAACAATTAACTGTAGATAACGCAACTAAAGTGAAAATGTAACAGATTTAATAAGTTATGTAAAAAGTTTATCATTTTTACAGTATCCTTCTAGCCGGACAAAAATCCTAATGTATTTAGACTTCTGGTAACTTCATTGATTTGTATTGCTCATATAAATTAATTTGTTTATCTAAATAAACAAATATATATGTTGATTTTATACAAGTATGAAAATAGTAACATTGAAAATGAATAAATTATGTCGCTGATTCTCAATAGTAAAATTTCAACGGAACCATTATATTTAAAAGGCAAAACGAGATCATTGTATTATTAGAGCTCGGTCAACGTCCGCTACACTTCCGAAATAAGCACACACAGTCGATTTTACATAATTATACAATTCTACTATTTTCCACGTTCAACTTTAATAGTAAAATCACCAAATAAACGAACTCATTAACATTTTCATATGAATACGTTTGGATGTATTTACTTTATCGATAATTTATGATACATTTAACTTTATGACTCACATAAACATATTCGACACAGTATTTATAGCGATGACGATATATTCGTTACAATGTTGATATTATGACGGGATCACATTCTATTTTCTATAAAGAAAAACGATAGAATGAAATAAAATGAATTCGTTGTTATTTTTTTTTGTATCTGCATGTATTACAAATTATTAATGTCCAGTTACAAAATCAATAACAGTTCATTGTTAGAGATCAGATAATATCAAGGTTACTTATTCAGATAGTACGAGCAACTTGTTACTTGTATGAGTAGGTGGACGACACAATGTGATTTACATATAAGCGTCCATCAAGAATGTGAGATGCTATCTTTTGATTTGTGCTCTGCATATTCAAAGTTTGTCTTTAATAGTAATTGTACATTGTAATTATTTTAGCAAAGTACTGAATATATTTCTATAGGCTACATTTAGTAGTAATGTATAGATTAAAATAAACGTAATTATGTAAAGTATAAAACTAACCAAGATACGTACAGTTCGAATTTTCTGCTATAGAGTGAGAATTTAAACGTGGAAATTTATTTCTTTGTTTATCTCAGTTTTTAGCGGAGAAAATTCTTAAGAGGGATGCATAATGTTTTGCATTAGATTTTCGGCAGTGCAAATAGATCACGAGGTTATTGACATATTATTATGATATAAAGCGACGTTAGTCTTGTGGTATACTTATGAAACCGCAATAACCACCGCACGATCGACTTACCATCCGCGTTTCTTACATTCATTACAAATATGGTCGAAATACTTTTTTACGATACGATGTAATTGCACATACATTTGCCATTTCTTAATCAAACTTTCACTTTAAGTGATGAAATGAGCTTATTCAGTTTTATTGTACGCCAACATGTAATATATTATTTTAAGATCGAAAGTTAATACGTAAGAGAAATGTTATAAAAAGTTTAACATCAAAAACTAAAAAACTGTTTATTCTAATTCATTCTATTTTAATAGTGGTAGAGCCCGCTTTAACATCTTTGCACGAATGGGTCAGCTCGCCCGGTGAAATACCACGACCACACAGAAGACAAGCGTGAAGTGAGAGCAATTCCGCGTTTCGTCTGATGAGTGTGTTGCCGGAGGCCAAACTTTAGTCCCTTTCCCATTCCATCCTATTCTTCTTATAAGGAAAGGATTGCATGGGAAAATTGATTTGACGGTGGAGGAGTCACATAGAAAGAGGTAATATCCTCTTTATGTGCATCTCCTTCTCCATCGATTTAGGGTAAGCAACGAATCTGCAATGGCGGATGTCTATGGGCGCTGCCATTTTGACGGATTTAGATGGCCGCTTGCTCATTTGCGACCTTATTACATAAAAAATGCGTTAATCCAGAGTGCAATTAACCTATGTATTTCTGTACTAAACAGATCCAGGCTCAAAGGCCTTACATGAGTTAAATGGTAACCTTAATATATACACTAGCATACATACAGCTTAAATTGTAAGTTCTGTACACCAGTTATTTTTATAACGCGTACAGTTAAATTCAAAACTATTACAATAAACTGGTTCGTTACTTCCTAGAACGTTAAGAAACTCTCTTTCCCAAGCCAGTTGGTGGTTTAATTCCAAATATCTCGCAGTACGTAGTATGCATACCAGAAAGGGTAATGTAACGAGTTACATTATCATTTGTATCTCACATTTCAATAACAGTTGTCAGCCGTGGCCGAGCTTGCGGCCTGCACCGCTTCATGTAATTGATATGCAAAACGCATTTATATTTTCACTATCGTTCAATGTCCCATTGTTTGCGACACTTTCTATAAATAAACATTGCCAATTTTTGCATGAACATATAAGTTACATAACAATAACCTTCAAACAGATTTTCTTGTGTTCAAGTAAAGTAATATAAAAACATCTTATCCCTAATTATTTTACGGCTTACTCACGTCATACTTTTTCCGGTGACGGCACCGACCAGTTTCAGACCCACAGATTCCTTCTTCGGGGGACGTGAGTAAACCGTAAAATAATTAGTTATAAAATGTCTCACGAAAGTTTAAATAATTTAACATCTTATCCCATTAGAAAATAGACCGAATTTACTACGCTCTTCAATATAAACTAAATAAAAAAGCTTAGTGATTTATATTCATGTTAAAGTACAGTTTTACTTTGACAAAGACCTTAAAGCAAAGCCGTAAACCACATACGTTTACTACTTGCGGCTCCTACTGTAACCTTGTCGAAACTAGAGCACCGTGTTCACGTTACTCCACTAGTATATTACAACATCTTCATGCACAATTTTTGCCACCTTCAGAAGTGTTAAACACATTACTGTAAAATTTACTCTAGCTCTGCATTGACTAGTAACCTTTGTATGTTTCTTGTACACTACGGCAAGGACGTACATAGCGTAGTTCATGGCCTTAGACTGTTTCACAATATCAGGCCAGAGAGCACGAACTCATTGGAATCCGCTATAGAACGAATTCCGCAGGACTACAATATGACCGCGAAATCATATTTTACAAACACAAAATAAAATTCAAAACAACTGTCATAAAAAATCCAGTAAATTTATCAAAATCCCATTTATCAATATGTAAGAAGAGATCGTTATCTAGGAGTTAATAATTGAAACATTAAAAGATATTTCAAAGATTAATCGGTGTTACCTTAAACAGCTGTAACCTTAAGATCCGTATTCTTTTCTAATTTCTAACCATGACCTTTCTGTAGAGCTAATTATGCTTGTATTGTCTTGAGAAAATAAAGTAAAAATATATACGAAAATGTCGTAAAATACTGTGTGAATTGATGTTTACCTAATTACTTCTTTAATTTATTTGTGAAAAAGTATAAATGGATAGTCCAAATCCCAAATAAGATGCAAAAATATTCATCGAATTCCGCGACTATTTATGTCTTACCTTTTTGTATGATTCCTTATATTTTTCTGTATTACTTAAAGATATTTTAAATTAATTTAAAATACGTGAATAACGCAAAATTATAATTACAGGGTCACCTGAAGATCTCATTTCTGTGATGAACAATGCTTAAACAAGAACTTCTCCTGTTGGTAAGTTAATAAATTTTTCATGTTTTATAAAGTAACACACCGCATAAATATCACATCTCAAATATATATTGTACTAGCTGTTCCCGTGCGACTTCATCAGCATGAATTTATGGAGGTTTTACTTTATTTTTTCATTTGTCAAATTAGCAATTGCAATTATCAAAATGACATGACATGTTGACAATACATGGCAATCTTACTTTTTTTGATGTTGACAGCTTGTATCTTATGGTCCCTTTCACACATTGGGGTTTTTTCTAAAATAACCGCCTTTTGAATCGGGCCCTTAATCCAACCGTCTAGAGAGAGCTTCTTGAGACGTTGGTCAAAGATCTTCGCTATTAGCCTTGCATCGAAACGACTATCGGAATAATGGTAGTTGATCCCTATCATTACTATTAATACTTTTATTCACTTTATAATGTCCACTCGAGTCTGTATTGAGTAATGTTAACCTAGTATCAAGTAATTACGGTCGTTCTATAAAAATAAGAAGATATTAGACGCACTTGTAACACTTTCTACGGTCACTAAATCTGTTGCGATAAGTGTAGCGTACAAAATATGTACATTTTGTAACAAAAAAAAATATAACATTCATTCTGATAGTTTAGTAACAACTTGCTCAATTTATTTGGATTTCATACGAGCGTGATTTAGAAAAAATAATACTAACTTCGTCTTAACAAATACGTTATTTTTACATATATCTGTTTTTTGTAATTGATTGTTCCATAAAATTAATGATCTACATATTTAATTGAGTTATACCAATTAAACCAGTTATTTAATTAATACGCTAAAATAACTATACACTAATATTTAATTGAATGGTCACGAAATTAATTACCACTAATAGTTTCAATGATTAAAATAAATCATTTACTCACATCGATATAACAGTACTTTTTTAGATGGTAGGATGTAAACATTTCTCGTTAATCGCCATAAAGTTGTTTGCTGTGAAACGTAATGATATTAAAATTTTAAACATCCTGTATCCAAGGCTTATACATAAATTAATCAAAAATCTCTTGTTGCAAGAACTTATCAGACCTAAAACTTATACCGCTAAATACTACTACATTTTTAATCACGACATAACATAGACATCCGCAATTGCAGATGCGTTGCCTATCCTTAATTGACGGAGGAGGAAACGCACATAAAGAGGACATTTCCCCTTCCTATGCGTCTCCTTCACCGTCAAATCCACTTTTCCTTTACATACTTTCCTCTAAAGAAAAGGGTGGAAAGGGAAAGGGACTAAAAATAGGCCTCCAGCACCACACTCATCAGACGAAACGCGGAATTGCTTCCACTTCACGCCTGTTTGCTGTGTGGTCGTGGTATTACACCGGGCGAGCCGGCCCATTCGTGCGAAGATGTTAAAGCGGGCTCTACCACTGTTACCACTTAACTGATACGAAAACAAAATTATTTAAGTATATTCAAATATTGTAAACCTCTTTATAAAGCAGTCTGTCATGAACTCAACCTGATTAAAGCGAAAGTAATTCGTTATCGTAATTTCATCTCCATTCGATTCCTCATCATTCGATAGTCAATTGAGCGAACAATAGTTGAGCATTTTATTGCATGTTATTTCCTTTTATAATATTTGATTGAAGACATGAATTTAAAATTTTTATGTGAAGTCGCTTTTGCGTTTATTATAATAACGGACAAAGCTTTTGCGGTAAGAGCAATTAAATATCTATTTAGTAAAAATTTTAACATATAATTAGATGTTTGTTTTTAAATTTTTAATACATAAATTAGTTTTTGAAGTAATACATTGAAAAGACGTAATTCTAAAGGGAGACGAAGAAGCGTTTCTATATAACTCGATTGCTTTGTCAAGAGAAGCTTAGTACAATTGAAAAACTTTCTATTGAAATGGTTTATTTATGTTAAATATGTATTTTCAGATTTATAATAAAGACGTTGTCTGTGTAATAGATATCGGCGAAAAGCCTGTCTGCAGAACATTCATTAAATCGAGTCGACGCACTAACGTTACGTTAAATAATGCTCCCGTCTACGACCCGTACATCCCTAGAACTAATCCAGATTATTACATTTGTCCAGAATTTAATTGCACTAAAATTACACTTCATTCAATAACTCAAGTAGCATCGTTAAACACTAATTTAAAGTGCTGTTTTTATGAGAAGACATATGACTGCGAACCAATACGTTACAATCATCTTAAAAATGTAGACAAGTTATTATTTTTATCAGAGGCTATACCGCATAAAATATACTTCATGGCGGATTGCTTCATATATTCGGATGGCGGCCGAATTTGTAATAGAAATCACGGTTTCAACTCTCATGCTATGTTAGTCGATTTATCGACCGTTGCAAGACGAAACGAAGATAATATACTTGCACAGGACGAATTTCTATGCGAGGAAGATGTTGGTAATGAAATATTGTGTGACCTAAACATTTACATTCCATACGAGGACCGTATAGAACGTAAAGATTTCACAAATAATAAGAATAACGTTCTGCTCAAAACTGGTAGAGAAGTATTGGTGATGCAATACGGGTGCAGAGATTTATGGTGTGGATTCGGAGCGAGTACGAGAACTAGAAGAACTTATATGACAAGAGAAAGATACGAGCCACCTGGAGGTCACGTGTATCGCTGTTTTTCTGCCAAAGGACAGCAAGTTTGTAAACGGCTGCCGTTGGAAGGAAGGTACGCGTACAAGGAACGGGGTTGGCGAAGCCAGTGACGTAACACAAATAATGTATTATTTCAAAAGTCGATACAAATCAATAAGAAACAACATGAGATTTTTTGCATAAACCTATTCCGTGTCCCCTGGTGTATTTGGAACATGGTTTATCAAACCGTAATAGCTATTAACATCCTTTTCTGAGTCAACAGTTTTCTAGCATTGCAATTGTTACGGCTTGCATTACTTTATCTGATTTGTACAATAACAAAAACTCTTTGATATAAGAATATTTAACTGTCTACAATCCCGTAGTTCTTACTGCAACAATGTGACCCATATTGTAAAGTGAGTTCCTTACAAAGATAGATAAATTTAGTGTTGACGTTGCATAAAAAATATGTTATTGTTCTTCAATAGGCAATCAATGTTAAAGTTTTGTGCGCCGAACAATGAAACCTATATGGCAGGAATATCGTAAGCGTTTTGTATTTGTATTTTAATTAAACTGCAGTTGGACCCAGCGATGTATGGCTCGATATACTACAAGCAAACTTTAATAATCCTAAATTTAATAGAATAGTTTGTTTTCTTATGTTTATAAATCGAACGGCGTTAACGCAAATATTACATTTTAAGTAAAAACAGTGTTTTTTTTTTTAAAAAGAATGCATTCTTAATCTAATTAACATAAACAAGAAATAGTTGGCAAATAGTAAACAAATAATAATTAAATTAATTCTTCACATATAAAATCATCGTACATATATTATCTTGATGTAATAAAACAAAATAAAGCTAACACCTAAGAATCCGTTTAATAGATCGAAAGCGACATGAAATGCTATGCACTAACTCTCGCAAGAGAGTCCTAGATTAAAAGTACTAAGGAATATTTAGTATCAGAAATGTATACTAAAGAGATCACTCAACTTTTCCGAGTACAGTAATAAGTAATATAATTAAATTGCAAATACATACACATTACCCACACGTACACATTACACAGTCGCGTACACTCGCCCTGAGAGTGAAAGTGGACAGTCCCATTCTCGGTACACACTACACATGCGACCGGACTTATATTTATTACGCAACTACGTCGAAGTATTCCGCACTCAATAAGACCAGGAAAGATTGTGATCTTAATTTAAAATCCCTCTAAAACCTGACGTAATAGTGACCCAGTTTTAACCTTCCTGTTATGATTCAATTGGTATTTATTAGGCCCATATTTGTCGAGTTATATAATTTTTATTTTCCCGACTTAAGGAAACCGGTGCACGTTAATCATGTTTAAGTTATACATTCGCTTAACGTAATCGCTTTTATGTCATCGTATTGCTAAGAGTAAAACTATTTGTTCAAGCCTTGACGTAATGTTAAAAATCTATACTTAAAATGGAGTACCGAAACTAAGGTTGCAAAAATCCATAAGGTCAAGTAAAAGGAATTAAAAACTGTGGAGAGAATGGAGAACAAGACTGACTTAATAGTTGTTAGGCCGAGGTAATAAAAAGGAAGAAAAGATGTTATTCTAAATCACTTACTACTCGAATCCCCAAAGTAAATTGAATCGATTCTTGACGACAAAATAAAACTTCTCAATATGTCGAAAGACAAGGCGCTGACACGTGTTTTATCTGAACATGTGACTTAAATTGTTTTTTTTTCGGTTGTTTTTTTTTTAATTTATTTATCTTAATTGATAGCTTGATTTGATGATTTTCCAAAATGTTTTTATATCTCACGTAGTCATATCTTGCATACAATTCTTTTTATAGAGCGATAGAAAAGTTTTAATCTTTTTACCAATTGTATCAGCATGAGATCATCGCTTATTTAGTTTACTTATAAAAATATATAATTTATATCGAAAGATGAATATCACTATCGTCATACTTTATTTGATAAAAAAAGAAATTAACAGGTGAATATGTCAAACGTTCACCCACTCCTCCGAACAACAGGTCACAAGATGTGCTAACAATAAAAAATAGTGTTTTGTGTGTTATTTTTACACAGTTATTTTTTTTTTCTACGTATAAAAATAACGAGAAACTATTATATTTATGAAATACATGCTTAAAGATCAATCGAAATGACTACTTACAACCTAGTATTATTTATAAACCATAAATTTTAAATCTTAAATGTTAGAAATTATATGCAAAGTGCTGTTAAACCTGTTGCATATTAAGATATCCGGTTAATATTAAAAGTGACGCATGTTGAAGGCATGTTTATTAAATTTAATTTACAACATAAACGCAAATTTTAAGGAAACTCTGTTTAAAACAGATTTACAAT